AGTCCAGACCTGAAAGCCCCCCTGCTGTGAACGTCTTCCCTGTGGGATGAAAAGGACTCTGTGATGCAAAGGAAACAAGGCTCTCGGGATGGAGGAGATGGCCTCGGGCACCTGAGCGAGCAAACACGAGGGTCTATATGAAAGGAAAACAGGAGGACCCGAGAGCAGATTTGCAACAGTGGAAGCAACTTGTGCAGAAAACAGATCTGGGTTTGAGAGGCCAGAAAGGAGATTCTGCCCCCGACCTTCAAGAGGAAAGTAGTCCTGCAGAACCAGTTAAAATGCCCGACCTGCAAGGCTTAGAGAATAGACATGTCTCTAAACCAGTCTCTAAGTTCGTGGTGATTTATTACACCAGTGACTGGAAACAAATACAATGCTTCTCTGACCTGTGTGGATCCACCACCACCCACCCCTGGTTCTTCCCGTTCTGTTTTGCTAATTTATCTGTGAGAGGAACAGGGTCATGCATCCCGTAGGATTGCCTGTGGTTTGGGTTTAGCCCACTGCATCTTAATGATTGTGTTTAACTTGTTTTTCCATCTTTAAAATTTCTTGCTATGTCCGCTACCCAGGCCTGGGGACCCACACGCTTACTCTAGGGAGCAAACCTGTCCCTGAGAGGCTGTGAAATACCCCTGGCGTGGGCCGGAGAGTCTACTCAGCCAGTTGCCCCTTTTGTGAGTAAAGACAGATCCTTTGCCTCAGGGTCTCTGTCAACAATGCCGGCCATGTCCCCTTCAGCCTGGGTAATGGTGCTGAGGGCGCCAGTGAGGAGCGCTCTTTTCCTCGCGGAAGGCAGAGTGGTCATGTGCTCATCCCACTGCCTCTTCCGCAGTCCTCAGCCAGATTTGTTCCACAGAGGAATCTTTTCCAATCAAACATTTTGTAAGACTCAAAGTCTCACTTCCACTCCACAGAGAGTGAACAGCCAAAAGGCCTCCATGACGCTGAGTCCTATAGCCCAACGATGGCTCTGGAGGCAAGATTCAGGGCCTTACTTCCAAAAGCCATGAACAGCCAAAAGGGCCTCCACGAGCCAGGACCTATAGCTCAGCGAGGCTCCGGGATCTCAATGGAGGAACAAGAAACCCAAGAAGGAACACACCAGGCTAGATGGTAAACAGACCTTTAATTAGTCGGGCCAGACAGCACTCCCGGAGCCACGTAGCTGGCTCAGAGAGGCACCGGCTCAGGGGCTGAGGTCCTTTTAATAGGGGGGTAAAAAGGGGGGTTAACATGCTAAGCTTGCAGGCAGGGGACAAAGGTCTGTTGACTTGAGCTGGTGGTCAGCAGTCACATACTTGGCAGTCACATATTGAAGAGCAACAGATACCTATAGGATGTTTCAAAGGTCACCAAGACATTCCGGATGAGTAAACAGTTTGACAGTTAACTTGGGGTCTCTATGTCTAGAACCACTACCTTACACGGTAATCTGGATCCGGACTTCAACCAGTACAAGACTGCCTTACATGCCTAGGCCAGGGTTAGAACAAAGGTCGGGGCTATGACTACAATGGGAGGGGGTCAGGGCACTGTCTCCTAGGCCCTTTGTCATTTAGCATGGGCTTGTAATTTAGGTCTTACGGTTTACTCGCCCGGAGGCACAGTTGGAACAAGAAAGGTACCCTAAGTGTTTGATTTCTCTATCCATTTTTAGAAAAAATGAATAATTTTCTGCATTCATTGGAGGTTTATCTATACTCTTTCAGAGCTTTTAATATAATCCTGTGGACTCCAAAGCATTTGACAAATTTCAGTACAAAACAGTTGTTCTGTTCCTTTTGTCGTCTCTGCTGCACACGGCCCAGGGTGGGGATGCAGTTGCTGATGGGAACAGCTGCTTTCCTTTCCTGAACCCAGAGCGCTGGCCCCTCATGGTTTCCTTTTCCAGTGAAAGGCGGCTCTGGACTGTGGCTTCTGTGTGGAGCGGCCTGCTCAGCTCTCTCTCCCTGGGTGGGTTAAAGCCACAGCTCCTGCTGTGTTGGCTGCGAGGAGCCCCAGCTTGAGCACCTGGGTGGGTATTTGCCTCTGGCACAACTGTGCTCAGCCAGCAGTGGCTCCTAAGGGCTCAGGGCCAGGCTCCAGCATCCTCCTGGGCCCGGGTGCTGCCCACTGCACTAGCCGCTCTGTCCCCAAGGTGCGAGTAACCACAGCGTGGTTTCCCTGATCTTCCTCTGAGTCTTCCTCCTGATTTTCAGATCCCAGGTTTTATTTCAAATTGGCTGTGTTTTTGCATTTAATGGCAGATCTAATTCAAAGTAGGTTTGTGTCTGTAGTGGAAAATGAGGCTTTCTGAGTGTCAGGCTGTCAGAACACCTGTAACAGCAGTGACAGGGTTGAGGGTCATTGGCGTGGAAGCCAGCACTGCGGAGCCAGTGGCTGAAGAGGTGAAGGACACGGGGCACTGAGAACCTGCCCTCCACTGGCCACCCACAGCTCCCCAGCCCCACACCCGGAGCCTCCACACTGAGGCTGAGGATGCTCAGAGCCCAGGCCACTGTGCAGCCCAGGTAGGAGGCGCCTGGGAATGGAGCAGGCTATGGTAATGACAACCTCCAGGGAGAAATGTGCTGTAGCCACGTGGACACAGGACAGTTTCCTGTGCCCTAAGGTGCCTTCCAGACCAGCCAGGGAAGGACAGGCCTCAAGTCAGCACTCACTGTCTTAAAATAATTTTAAAATCTGAAGGATTCTGTCATCCTTAACTCACTCCTTATAACAAATAAACCCTGGATAAAAGACAGGTTCCAATTTTTCTAAGAAAAATTATGAAAGTCAAATAATCTGAGAAAATGTCAGCTTACATTTTAATAAATTTTCATGACCACCTGAAATTTAAAAATGGATGTGTCATCAAAACCAGAAGGTATATGGGGTGGGGGATTTAGCTCAGTGGTTCCGCCGCCTGCCTCCCAAGCACGAGGACCCAAGTTCGATCCCTGGTACCAAACAACAACAAGAACAACAACAAAAACTGGAAGATATAAAGAGGAATATTGATGATAGGATTTCTTTAAGCAATACAAAAGTTTTTTTCCATGAACAAGATGAAGAAAAATAACCCAATGAGTTTAAAAATGTCTGTAACAGTGTATGGATTTCTGTGGATTTTCTATGGATTTCTATGGATTCTAAAGTTCATTAGATAATAGGGAATAAAAAACCGAAACAGAAAAAGGACATGGAACTCACATCCAGAAACATGAATGCATATTACGGAGCAAGGATGACAGCCCCTTGTTCAGCACGAAACACACTGGTGCAGATGAGCCTACAGCGGCGTGGGTGCTGAGGCCAGGACATGTGGAATTGAAAGCCATAGATCAGTTGGTGGAAAAGGGAAGGGTCACTCAATAAACAGTGTCTGGGCTGTGGATTAATTTGAGGGAGAAAAACAGAAGTAGATTTCACTGTTATAAGAAACACGACAATCTGTTCTCAGTGGCTCTCATAATGTATTGGTGACCAATTTCCCGTAAATTTTTTAAAAATAAGAAAAATCTGCTCAACAACTGGAGCCGGTACGAGGCTTTTCTGGAAAATACCATAAACCCATAACAGAAGAGCTGATAAGTTTATGGACCGCAAACATGTACTGATGAATTTTTTTGAAAAGAGTTAAGAATCCCAAAACACAGGAACTCAGGGATGTGACGCGAGAGAGCCTGTGTCACCCCGGGGACCGTGGGGACTTTGAACCAAGGCTGAAGTCCTGCGACGTCTCCCCTGAGGAACCCAAGTGAGTGTGCGAAGGGATGCCTGGCTCAAATAGCGACCAGACAGACCCAACCCGGGGCCCCTCCGCAGGGACGCAAACGTGAGCCGTGACTGCGTTGCAGGAAGAATTGGTGACCAGGCTCTGCATTCACCACCTCAGAGAAACCTCCTGAAATGTTCAGTGAGGGCAGAGAGATGCCAGAGGGCCCTGGCTCCTCTGTAAATAACTGCAACATGAAAATAGTGCGCGGGCTGGCGGTGTGGCGAGGGGGTGCACGCAAACGCGGCCTTGGTCTGCTCCGAGGAGCAAGGGAAAGCTGGGGTTTGAGAAAAGAAAGCTCGCTGCTCCTGGCGGCATTACTAGGAAGACTGCGCTTGTCAGACTCCCAGCTTCACCGGTTGGGTAAGTGCTCTTATGCAGCAGCTCGCTGGCTCGCTGCCGTCCCTGCCTGTCATCAAGCCCTCCCTCCGTGTCTCTCCCATGTGCCAGGGGTGGCAGGGGTGACTCCCTTTTCAATCTGGCGGCTCTCACAGTAGTAGATCCACACGGCCTTTTTTTTTAACCCTCCTGCCGAAAAGTATTAAAAACAGTACCAGTGTTTTAAGGTGTTGTATACATGAAGGGCAAGATCATAAAAAAGGCTTAAAAGCCAGAAAGGAGCAAAGCAGGGATCAGGTTGGCAAATGACTTTCACCCACTGACCACGCTGGACACACACCGCGTTCCGGGACAGGAGCAGAGAGCAGCGACACAGTGCCTCCCTAGGGACACTGGACTCAGGATGAACACCCAGGTCGGGGAGGGACAAAACCCTGCTCGTGGGTGAGCACTCGGGATGCCTCCGGAGGAAGCCTCAATCAATTCCCAGTCTCAGAAGTGACGAGGAGCGAAATAAGCAAGACGCAGAAGAACAAAGTTCAGGGCCAGGATTTAGCTCAGTGGTTCCACTGCCTGCCTGGCTGCCTTTCAAGCATAAGGACCCGAGTTCAATCCCAGGTATCAGAAAACAAACAGAAGAAGAACAAAGATCATGTCCTCACTTTTCGGCGATTTCCAAAAATAGTAAAATTTGAGCTGGATGTGAGGCTGCGTGCCTATGTCCTGGCCCTTGGAAAGCTGAGGACAGAGCAAAAGGGCAAGCTGATTTTCAACTTGGACCCTGTCTTGAAGGTGTGGGGGAGAGGGGCTGAGGTTGTGCTTCAGCACGAAGGCCTTGGCTTCAATCCCTGTATATGGAAAACTTTAAACCACACATTGTTTAAGCATGTGACAAAATTTTATAAAAGATCACCGTGGCTTCAAAATATTCAACTCCTAATTCTACATAGTGGCAGACTTGAGCACTCTCCAAAAAAGAGCGATTAGATTCAAAGATAGACACAAAATAAATGAAGTTTTTCACCAAGAGTCCAGGAGAAATAACATAAGAAACCCAAAGAAATTAGAAGGGGGGAGAGAGGGGGTAAATAATTTTAATCAATCAAAGAAATGGGCATGAAATAGGGTCCACTAGGAACATCAGAGAGCAGAGAGCTCGAGCCCTGCCCATGCCTCCTTCGGCCTTCTCGCCTTCAGGTCCGGCTTCCAGACCAGCAGGAGTCCACTCCGGCTGCATTGCTCAGTCCGAGTGCATTTGATCCGCACACTACCGACTCACTCTCTTCGGTGCTTTCCCAGTCTGCCCTGAACCCTCTTCTCCAGGCTTTTGCTGCACAGAGCTGCTGGGCATCGTCTCCGTACACACACCCTCTGCATGTGTGTGAAGAGGCCGCACTGCCCAGATGAACTGCACTGCACGTCCTAGCAGTTGTGACGAAACTGTGCTCTCAGCCCCTTGTGCAGCGCGAGGGTCCCTGTCCTATACCAGGTGTGGGGGGGACACAAGTGTGCTGATCATCAGGCGACTGTGCTGCCAGCTGTCTCAGTCTCTGTCTTAAAAGAGAAAAAGGCACGAGTATTCAGTGACCATATAGTCAGCGAGAGGAGCAGCTTGTTTTCCTGCCTTGCAAAAAGTTAAAGTCATTTTCTGTTTTCATTGTGGTTTATGGAGAACTACATTGATTTACAGGAGTGATTGTATGTTAGGAAAATTTCATTTTTCTGAAATATAAGTTGTATTATCACTTTCCCGGTTGAGCATCTGTCTTCATACTCGTTATGGTAATAGGTAGTGGCCATGATTCTTTGAAAATTACATATATAATTGATTATTTCAGAAATTTTGTTTTATGCCGTGACCTGTTTCAATCATAGCCACCTGCACACCACATAAAGCTCCAGCACGTGCAGGGTGCCGTCTCGTGTACTTGTGCACATTCACGTTATGGAGCCGCCACCACCGCCCAGGCCCAGGACCTGCTGAACTTGCAAGAGTGAGACGCTGCTCCACTGAACCACTGCGTGTGAGTCCCCGCCCCTCCCCAGCCTTAGGAAGCACTCTTTGCCTAGGGTACTGCAATTTTATATCGTACCACACTATCAGAAGCACTCCCTGTTCCCTCCCACCATCCCCACGGTTTTACTCTAGTTTTTGTTTGTTTTGCTTCTAAGATATAAATACTTGGGGCTGGCGAGACAGCTCCGTGGCAGTGCCTGCCTGGTATACACAAAGCCCTGGGTTCGATCCTCAGAAAAAAGCAGATATAAATATTCAATTTATCTGTAGCTTACTTGTTGGCGATATGTTCATTTGTATACACAATTGTTTCAAAAGCATTTGTGAATCTATTTTCTATTGATTTTTTACATTGTCTATTTATTGATATTGACAAATAACATTACGTATCTCCATATATTTATCATGTATAGAATTTTTTAAAATAGAGGAGGGGCCTGGGGATTCAGCTCAGTGGTTCCACCTCTTGCTTCACAAAGGCAAGGACCCAAGTTTGATCCCGGTACCAAAAAAAAAAAAAAAATAGAGGAGAAGGTATAGCTCAGTGGCTAAGTGCTTTCCTAGCATGCATGAGGCTCTTGATTTGATCAACAGCAGCGAGAGAGAGAGACAGAGAGAGAGAGAAAGAGAGAGAGAGAGAGAGAGAGAGAAAGAAGAGGAAGAGGAAGAGGAAGAGGTAGAGGGAAGGAAGAGGACTGAGAGAAGAAAAATACGCATACGTTGTACAATAACTGTCAACCTACTTAACATACGCATTACTTCATATAGTTAACACTAGTGTGTGTGTGTGATAAAGACTCATAATTTACTCTCAGCAATTTTCAAGAATAAAACACATGGTTATTAAGGTAGTCACCACACAGTTCTTTACTAATTTTTATCCAACTTGTTCTTGAAAATTTGGGCTTATTTTTAGTACTTCCTAAATAGCACCCTTCTTATATTTTTCCCATGAACAGGAACCAACCTCTTTTAATTATGAAATCTGAAAAAATAGCTCTTGATAAAGTTGTTCTTCTACCACCATTTTTCTTGCAGTTTTCCCAAAATTTCTCATTGGCTTGCTAAACACTTGCTAGTCAGCTTGCCTGGTTCCCTAAATACACGTTGCTGCATGTGCCTGGCCGTCCCCGATGGGGGGCACTGGGTACAGCCTTTGCCCTATCTGGTCACGCCTCGGGAGACTCACGGGAGACCATGTCAGAACCGCTGCCGAAGATGCTCAAAGTGAAGGGGTGAGTGAGTGTGTGCAGAGGGGCGACTTCGTGGAGGGTCAATGGTGATGCGTGTTTTACTGTGATATTTTATTTCACTTACATTCACTGCACATCTGGATCCCCCCTTGCATGTTTTCTTCAGCTAGAATAGTCTGTGCGGTGTGTTCCAAACCAGTGCCTGCGACCCTGGAAAGCGAACAGTGTTTTAGTTGGGAATATGTACTTAGGTCACAACGCTTTCTTTATAGATGGTATTTCACCGTCAGTAAGGTTGACCACCAGACAAAAGAAATGCAACGCTGTTCTTGTTTCAGTTTTAAGTAGTCTGTTCTTTTTTTTCCAACTTGAAGCCTAAGCAATTTTCACTTTATGCTTAAAATGTCAGAGCTTCAAAGTGTGTCTAAACATCTTTTTATTGACTCTTTCTGGTACTAAGTAATTGTATTTCACCCAGCTACATCTCCCAACCTCCCTCTCTCCCTCTCTTCCTTCTCTTTCTTTGAAACAGGGTCTCAGTAAGTTACCCAGGTTGACCTCAAACTTGTAACCCTCTTGCCTCAGCCTCCTGCATCCTGGAATTACAGGTGTACAAAAGTACTCGTGGCTTTTTATTGATTCTTGAAATTAATCTTCTCATTACCTCGTAAATCTTTTCAATCTAATTATCCCTCTTTGACTTATTTTTATATTTTTGCACTGCTTAATTGTTTGCTCATTGCATCTCCTATAATGACTTTTTGCTTCTAATATCTTTTCTTTCATTATTTCCATTCCTTTGGTACTTCTGGTACGAAATGATGAAATATCTTTCCAGTTTGCTCATAAAATTTAAATTCGAGAAAGTCGTGTCTGTGCTCTAGGTGAATCCTCTGGAGTCTTGTTGCTTTCTCACTTAAGCTTCCGGCTGGGTCCCCTCCCAGGGCTGTGCTTTGGGCACTGGTGGGCACACAGCCACCTTATCCACGCTAAGTCTCCCTTGGGCACTCAGAAGTGCACCCACCCCCAGCTGCTGGGCGGCCTGGACACTGTCGAGAGACAGGGTACACCTCTGGTGTGGGGTGTCGACTTCCTCTCCTGCGGCCAGGCAGTGAGCAGGCTTACAAAGGAAGCTTTCTTGGGGTGGAAAGAGGAAGCACTTGGCTCACAGAGTCTCCTACCAACAGCAGATTCCCTGTCACAGCCATGGACAGGTCTGCACAGCGGCCACGCTCCCAAGCAAGCCAGGCACCCACCGGCAGAAGGAAGGGTCTCGTGCATCATTTCCTGTCACCCTCACTAGAGGCTGCGAGACACGGGGGTCCCCCCAGGCTCACAGTGGCAGGTGGAGCCCCAGGAAGCTGGCTATCCCTCCATCCTATCGTCAGGGAGAAACTGCTGAGTGGCCCCAGTTGGACCTGGCCTGAGCCAGGCTCCCCGCTCCAGCCTCCCCGCCTTGTTGTGTGATGAGGGACTTGTTTCCAAGACAGCTCGAGAAGCAGTTGTGGCTGTGACTCAGACAGCATGCATCAATTCTGAGGCCACAAATGAGTACTTTTCAAAAACTATTCTAGGAAACTAATTTCCAGCATAATGGGAAATGCTCAAACTTGCTAGTGAATTAAACACATCTGCAGCCGCACAAGACACCACAGTGGGCTGACAGCCCAACAAAGATAAACACCACTGACCTTCCTCCGTGCTGGTGGGAGGACACCTCGGTCCCTGCCAGTGGAAATAGCAGGTTAGCAAGGCGGTGAGCAAGTGGGGGGGGGAGCGCAGCAATCTAACACTAGGGTTTCATCCGAAATAAGTCCAAAGATTATGAAGCAAGTGGTTTATCTCAACATGACTGAAGATAAGAAAAAGTCAAAAATAAACAAAATGTCCAACATAGAAAGGAAATTCCAAGCTGAGCATGGTGGCTTTATCTGTAGTCCTGACACTCAGGAGACTGAAGGAGGAGGAGGATCACTGTGAGTTCGAGGCCAGCCTGGGCTGAATAGTGAGCCCCTAAGTCAGGAGAGAAAGAGACAGAGAGAGAGAGAAACAGAGACAGAGACAGAGATCAAGAGGCCGAGAGACCAAGAGACTGAGAGAGAGAAATCCCATGAAGTGGCAGAGGAATCTCATGGGAGGGTACAAGGGAAGAGCGGTATCCATCAGTTGAGCTTCTGCCAGGTGTGGGAGCCACACAACGCCCATTCTGCAGGAGCTCACCGAGAAGGTGGCTCTGGGGGTTCCAGTCCCAGCCGTTGCTCGGGGCAGCACATCACATGTGACAAAGAGGGACAAGAAGCTGCTCACCTCGAGGTGGGGAAGGGCAGAGAGCAGGAGCCTCCCGAGGGGCTCAGGGACCCGACACCTCCCACCAGGACTCACTCCATGTTTCCACCACCTTTCAGTAGCACTGAACTAAGACCCGAGCCTTGGACACAGGGCCCCGGGGTGATTGCAGACCCACTTTAGCAGGAGCTACTGGTTCTCGGGATTAGCATGTTTTCCAAATGCTCCGCGGGGTGTCCTTTGGTCATTGGGTATTACGGGCCCAGGCCTGACCTGCTGGGGGTGTAGCATGATGAGAAACAGCACCTCGGTGTGGTGTGGGAAGTAAACCGAGGTGTCCTCTTGCTGAGGGGGGGCAGCCACGGAATGCTCATCGAGCCAAAGACAGAACAGAGCTCAAAGTGACACAGAATACAAGTAAGCACCCAAAAGGTGCCAAGCCTCGTCTGTCGTTGGGGGAAAGCAAATTAAACAGCAGTGAGGCAGCGCTTCTCGTTCCTTAGAAGGGCTGCCGTCCAATCCTGACTGAGTGGTCACCGGCCACGGTGCGGGGTAGGAGGAATTTTCACTCCCTGCTGTGGGAAGGCAGAATGGTACAGTCACTGGAGGACAGAGTGGCAGTTTCCTACAAAGCTGCACACTGTCGTTCCTGGGATTTAGGAAGGGTACTCCTGGGCATTTATCCAGCCGACCTGAAAACTTCTGTCCATACACAGACCTGCACATAAATGTGCATGACAGCTTTATCACAACTGCCGAAGTGGGGTGCAACCAAGATGTCCTTTGATAGGTGAGTAGACAGGTAAACTTTGGACTAAATACAAGAATACGATCCAGGGACAAGAACGGATGAACTATCAAGCCCTATGGAAACATGGTGCTGAGCACCTTGCTAATGCAAGGCATGGCTCTGAAACGCCTACCTACTACATCACAGTACGTTTAGAATACTCCAAGAAACGGAAAACTGTAGACACCGGACACACAAGAGTGGGCTGTCAAGGACTTTGGGAAGGTAAACAGTTAAAGTACAAAGCAGTTTCTGTTGGGAGTGAAACCCGTCTGTATTTTACCAAAATAGTGGATACATGGAACTGCAATCATCCACGTGCACCAAGTTTTAGAAAGAGAGCCTAATGTGCACACATCTGGAAAACCGCTTAGGGAAATGCAGGGTGGGACAGACTGTGATAAAAGAATGTAACTAGCGCATGTATGACACAGCCGCACCGCAGAGGGCTGGAGGTAAACATGCTGACCTGAGTAACTGCAGAAATAGACAGCGATGGGAGGCAGATGGCAAAAAGCTGTGCATGGCACCGCACCTCATACGGCAATGCTGCTTCTCCAGGGTCAGGCGGGCACACGTGCGGCACTGCGAGTGCGTGAGGCGGAAGAGAAAAGGTGCTGCGTGTGGGCGCCGCATACCTCACTGTTGCATGGACGGCCATGTATGAACCAGGGCACAAGGCTAGAAAGACCGTAGGCAGGCTTAGGTGCGGGGGTGTCAGTCGGAACTTTAGGGAGGGGACGCTTCATCGAGATGGGATGGGGTGGAAGTATGTACAGATCCATCAGTATCTGTACCCGTAAGTATAGATCCTACTGCAGGAGTCACCAAGCGGCAGGGAGCACATGCCGCATCCAGATCTTGGTCTCTAATTCCATTCTCCGATGCACGGGGCTTGGGCTCCTTGGAGAAATGGCTGATTCCAGGACTGGAGCAGGAAACATGCAAAAGAAGCCAGGCACCTTATTCCTTACCAAAGAGTAAGGATGCACACGATAAATGATTAAATAAATAAATGTGGAAACACGGATGAACTTCCTTCAGTTTAAAAAAAAATACTTGGAGGGCCAGGTATTTAGCTCAGCGGTTCCTTGCCTGCCTCCCAAGCACAAGGCACTGAGTTCAATCCCCAGCACTAAAGAAAAAAAAAACAAACTTGGATTGAGTTTCACCCACTATCCACTCACAACACAGATCACTTAGAACATCATTCATTTGAATACAATTTTATGCATCAGTGTCCACATTTAAATAACTTATGGAAATAGTGAAAACTTACCTCATAAAGCCAAGGTAGAGCCTTTGCATCACAACAAAATTAACCTTGGTCTTGAACAACCCAAAACTTTGTATAAAGTTGCAACTGAACCTTGTCTGGACTTTCTTTTGAAACTGAAGCCTTTTCTCAATTACCTCATAGCTACAGTAACAAAGGCTATCATTTAAATTATCTTTTCAGTGGCCACAAAAGGAAACATAGTTTCTTTTTCAGGCATTTTTAAACTGTGTATCTAAGTTAAATATGCCTAGAGTGTGCATGGAACAATTGGTTTGGTTTGTTTCTGGCATCAGTTCATGTGTGCAAGAGACAAGGAAGCAGTCTACATAAAGCCAGCACCCTTGGGGGGATGTAGGTCAATACCCAGCACCACAGGGCCCCCTTAGCTTGATCTCCAGAGCAGTACTGAGTGGCTGGGGAAGGGAAGCCTCTTCCTTAAGGAGAAGGAAGAAAGTTTTTCTGCACTGTGTGAGGCTGTTTTAGACGTATGTCCGCATAAATGAGTGCCCTACAACTAGCTGGACATGATGCAGTTCCGTGACAATTTTATCAATCTATCTGATCACAAAGCTCACACTTAGTAAGTCCAAAGATGAAAGTGGTCACCTATGTTAAACAGAAACAGAATGATCTTTCTTAAACCAGTAAGATATTTCCTTCCTGAAGGTTTTTATTGTGATTGTTTTTTGTTTTTATCTCAGCCCCTACAGAGTGATCTGAATATTACAGTTCACAAAATGGAGCAAGTTATCAGTCAATTTTAAATTTACAATCGCAAGTGCACTCTCTGGCTTCTACCTATAAATTAAAAAGTAGGGAAAGCCTTTGAGAATGTCCACAGTAGCTAATCAGAATACCATTTCAAGGTGTTGCTTAGGACAGTTTCTTACATTTTTCATTAGTTATAACTGCAGCGTATTTTAGTGGGGCAAACTTGGGGTCCAAATTATGTTTAAAAGCTTCCTCCTATTATCAGAGAAAGCAGACCACTACACAGTGGGGATTTTGCTTCTTTTCTCTTCTGAAGTGCTCTCAAATAATTTTCCTGTCTTAGAAGTTTTCTCAAGTGGTCACTATAGTTTTGAATTGCCTTAGTGAAAGTGTGTCAGTTAAAACAACCAGCACAATAGGCATTTTCGGTGATGGAATGTGAGAAGCTCGGAGTTCCAGCTAGATGAAGTACAGTTAATACTGAAGACACCTCCCAGCCTGCAGTGTGCCCCAGTCATGGCTCTTGGGAGTTACTGTGGGCCCCTCGACTGGGCGAAGGCCGACCATTGCCTACTGGGGATTTAAAATGTCCAGGCTGTTGGGGAATTGATCATGTTAAAGTATGCTGTGACGCCGCCTCACAGGCTGCATTCTCCTGGTACTTCTTGGCTCCTAAAACGACCTCATGCCTGAATCTCTGGTTTCCCTCCCACAAGGCCTCAGTGGTCCAGAGAAGTTGAAACCTGTGTCTGCAGGGCTGGGCCCATAAAGCAACCTGGCTTGTGATCGGTTAGAAGTAGCTGACCCCTCATTAATAATCAATAGCTCAGCCCAAAAGTAATAAAAGAGCCTTCCCTTCTTTGTTCTCTTCTTCTGCCCCTTCTCCCTCTCTGCTCCTGCTTCCTGAATAAAATCTACAGCCCGACCTCTCGGTGTGTGTATGGCCTAGTTGTTCAGCGTCTCTGGAACCCTTTCAGGCTCCACTCAGACAAATTAGATAAGAGCAGTCCTGGGGGACACAAAGCCCAAACCATGAGATTTTGAAGTGGTGGCCTAGGACCCTGTGTGCAGGGAACTCTGATCTGAGAAGAAGCCGCAGGTCCTCAGACCCTACCGGGGCTGCAGATGGACTTCTCGGCCTGGCTGTGTTCTCTCCCACACGGGACATCAGACAGTCAGATATGGACTGCAGAAAACAATGCTGCTGAGGAGCAATACAAATCTGATCCGATGTCTACAAATCCTGAGGAACCCAGTGCCTAGGAGAATAAACAAACCCAGTGCCAAACGCCTTGAAATGCAAGAGCTTGGTTGGGCACGAACTGGTCCACTCCCTGGAGCTTCAGAAGGGGGCCTCAGGCTGCAGCTGGGCCCAGTGCCAAGCAGCGCACATCCCAGCTGCAGCTCTCTGCAACCTCCATTTCTGGCCCTGTCCTGTGGGCACAGCACAGAGCACTTTCAGGGGTCAGACTGAGGTGCTGCCACTCGTGGTGAGGAAGAACAGAGAGAGAGACGCGAGTGTTCATCAGCGTCTCATCCCGATAGCAAAGGCCCCATCACCTCCCACCCGAGGACATGAACTCACTCGAAGCAGGATGTGAGGTGCTAACTTTCAGGTGACCTAAGCCTGGAATCCACGGCCCACCCGCAGTCATTCCTCCCAAACTGCAGCCAACAGAAGGCACTGGGGCTGGGTAGCTTTTCACTTAGAATGTACGTTGTCATGGGATCGTACAGAACTTCTGCACAGCCTCGTTCTAGGCTGTCATTCATCTCGCCACATTCCAATGCTGTCCACATCGCGGGATCTCTACGAGGCAATCTCCGAAAACACAAATTTCACTAAATCTATTAGTGGGTGCTTTGGGATGAGTAATCTTACCATCCGGGATATTTCTGAGATTTTGGCTTTGAAAATCCAGTTATCTTTCACACGTGAACACTCCTTACATCTAAATTCTAAATTATTAAAATTCGCCAAGTCTCCAGTAAAATCAAAAGTGAGATATTAATCCTCACTTTTTATTATTTCTATTACTGTGATCAGAAACCAAAGAGGAGGATCTTCGTGCAGTGCTGAATAAAATCGCACTTAGATTCTGCGTTTCCCCACGCCCCCAACATCACGATGAGACACTACCTCGGGCCCTACAAGCCTCCTCCCTGGCAGCCTAGCGCTCGCCCTTCTCGCAGGACCCACTGTGCCCGGGCGGTGCACGCGAAAAAGCCCCGATGGACGCGGCGGAAGTTGGTTTCCAGCCGCAGCAGCCAGGGCCCGAGTGGGAAGCGGGCGCGTGGGGGACCCGCTCCCTTCCCATTCGGGCTTCCGCCTCAGCATCCGGGGCCTCAGGCAGTGGATCAAGAGTGAGGGGGGACCGGCTCCCCGCAGCCGCTCAGCCCGCCTTCTGGGATCCGGCCTGCTCGGCCTGTAGGCCGCACAGCAGAGGCAGGGGCG